TTTTTTTTTTTTTTTTTTTTAATTATAAACAGGCCCCTTCTATTCTGGGGGGGCAACAGTCCGGTTGCTTATCACCGGCAAGCAAAGCATGTTTGTACATCCGAGGAAAAAGGGGGAGAATACGAGTGAAAGAGTCAGCCTATCCCTTGCAGCCCTAGCTGCCTTAAAGGGGGGACCTGCTACAGGGCATCCCTCCTCCCAATCCCTGATGTTACATGCCCAGTTGGGCGATGTACATACATAACCGAGGATCCACAATGTGATAAAAAGGACTGAATGGACAATGCAGTGCAAGTGAAATCTCAACAAGCAGTGCACATCCTGATACATACAAACATGGTGCTTTATAGCGCATGGGAAGACTTAGATACAAGTCCTGACCTGACCGGGACTGACCTCTATCATGTATTGCAAGACAGTGCAGCAGAATGCTAGAATACCAATGCTTAGCCCAATCAATGTTGCGACGCAGACCAAACATACACCATCCTCATCACAAGGTGTGAAGGGGCCTGGCGCTACACACAGGAAGAATGCGCCAGATCCAGATCATGCACAGATGAAGAAGAGGGGGAGAGATGGGAACGTCGTCAACTCCAAGTCTTTGTTACGAGTCCCAAATACTCCCTCGTCAAAATGTCTGAAACCCAATGTCGAGTCTGGATCCGAATGTCACCAAGCCCGCTCTCTCATAGGCTGCTGATGCAGTGAAGTCAGGTAGCGAGAGGGTGAGAGGGAGATGGTGGACTGAGAAGAGGAAGAAGAAGAACTCTCTCTCTCCCATGTGCCAGGTACTAACCTGTGAAGTTGGCGCTGTGCTGCAGGTACCTCGAAGACGGAGCTGGAGCAATGGCGCTGCAGGTAAGTCTCCCTGGCCTCCGCCCAATCTCTCTCTCTCCAGTACTACTCTAGCTCCTACTAGCGCCCAGCACTGAAGACTACTGCTAGCTCTACTAGCGCCCAGCGCTGAAGACTACTGCTAGCGTTACTACTCCTGCAGCGCTCCTCCGGAGTGCTGCTGCCGAATCCTGAAGACCACCTCCTGCCTCCTGAACTGCACGTGAAGTGCCTGGGAAGTACCTAGGAACTGACTGCAGCCTGCAGGGCGGGCCAGTCCTATATAGCCGAAACGTGCCAGACCCTGGCGTTGAAGTTCAACCAGGGGTTGTCTTGAAAACAGGCCCAGAATGGCCTGTGCTAAAACCCTGGTTTGGTGCCTGAGTTTCAGGGCAGGTCGAACTCATGAGGGCCTGAAAATGGCCCTCAGTTTAAGGCTGAAAAGACTCAGGGCCGGAAAGGCCCTGATTTAGGCTGAAACGACACAGGGCCTGTAGGCCCTTGTTTTCAGGCTTTCAGGCTGAAGCGACATGGGGCCTGTAGGCCCTTGTTTTCAGGCTTTCGGCCTAAAAATGTCACGGGCCTGAAAGTGGCCCGTGCAGCCTGTTGCAGGCGCAGCATGTAACAACCCCCCCTCCTTATGAAGTCAAGCCGGGTTGAGGGCGAGGCTGGCGATCTGAAGGTGGAACCTGGACGCGAGTGCGGCGTGGAGCCGAAGGTACCGACTTGCCTTGCATCTTGCGTTCGTAGTGTGCGAGAACATCCGGAGCTGTTGCTTGGAGTTCCGCACGGGTCAACCAACGGTCAACTTTGTGAGTGCAGTACGCAAAATGTACCGAGTACTTGGTTGGCCTGTGGCCGTAGCGTTGCTGGGAGATGATGTCGCCGACCTCCTGAAAACCGTCCATAGAGGGTGGGTCTTGCGATCGTCGCCCGAGAAAATCGTCATGTTCCGCTGGCGTGTAAAGAGCCAACTTGGAGCAATGAAAGACCAGGTAGACGGGCAAGTAGGCGGGTACCTGAATGGTGAAGGAAGGTCCTTCGGGTGCATCCCTAGCGGGTGCCACGATCGGCCAGGGCCCCATCCATTTCCGGAGGAGCTTGCGAGATATATCTTGTTCAAGGCTGAATTCCGCGGTGGAAACCCAAACGAGATCGCTGGCGCGGAATGGGCAAGGAAGACGCTGGCGATTGGCCTGTTGGCTCATGCGTTGCTGCGTCTTTGCCATCTGGTCGCGTGCCTTGAGAAGTAGCTCTTGCATCCGACGCAAGAAAAAAAGATGGTCATCACTCTCGGCCGTTCGTGGAATGATTGTGTCCAACGGAGAAGTGGCCGGCAAGTCGTGCTCGAACTTGAAGGGCAACATCTCGATCGCCGGGTGGATGGATGAGTTGTATGCCAACTCGACATCCGGCAGCCGCTCAACCCAATCCTTTTGGTCGGGACGGATGAGAGTGCGAAGGAGAACCTGTGCGGTCTGATGCGCCCTCTCCGTTTGGCCATTGGTTTGGGGATGGCGAACTGAACTTGGCTTGAGAGATGAGCCCCATCGCTTGATGAGCGCCAACCAAAAATCGGACATGAACCGAGTGTCGCGGTCGCAGACGATTTCCTTGGGGTAACACTTGGTTCGAATCCAACCGGCGTAAAGAACTTCGGCCAACTCCGGTGCCTTGGCATGATAACGGCAAGGCAAAAACATGGCGAACTTGGTGAGTCGGTCGACCACCGTGAGAATCCCATCCACACTGGTCTTGTGCTTGGGGAACGGCCCGGTAATGTCCATGGCAATCGCTTCCCTTCGGGGCAAGGGGACCGATAATGGACGCAACTCGCCGTATGGACGATGGTTGCGGAATTTGCAACGTTGGCAACCTCACATGACTCGCAATAGCGTGTGACGTCGCCGAGAAGGCCGGGCCACCAAAATCACTCGCGAAGTTGGCCAATCGTGTGATTGACTCCAAAGTGTCCGGTGGCAGGAGTGTTGTGGAACTTGCCAAGAAGCCGTGTACGCAAGTGAGAGTCACTCGGTACGCAAAGAAGGTCATTCCCCCGCGTGTGGACAAGCAAGTACCCCTCTTGGATCCGGTAGTGAGAAGGCGCCGGGTTAGGAGAGGAGCAATTCGCGTACTTGTTGCGAAACTCGAGGTCGGCTTGGTAGCCTCGGATGAAGTTGTCCCGCAGGTCGTCGTCGATCTCGAAGGTTGAATAGACCGCGATACAATGATCCGGACGCCGTGAAAGAGCATCCGCGAAACGGTTCGACTTCCCCGGAATGTGATTGGGAAAGAAGTCGAACTGGTCGATGAAAGCCATCCGTCGGGCGATGGTGCTGTTGACGGTGTCTTGGGTCTTGTAAAAGACCAACGGATTGTTGTTCGTTACCTACCGGAATTGACTTCGACCAAGGAGGAAGTGCTGCCACAGCTTGAGCGTGTGGACAAAGGCGAGGAGCTCCTTGCGTGCATCATCAATGGAGTGCATGACGGGCACTTTCTTGCTGAAGTACTCGGCCAGGTGCCAGTCCATGCCATCGTGTTGCTCGAGGACGACACCAATGCCATAGTCGGTCGCATCCGTAGTGACGCTCGTTGGCAATAACGGGTCGTATATGCGCAAGACCTCCGCAGATAATAGCGCGCCTTTGAGAGTCAAAAATGATTCCCGTGCATCCTCTCCGAAGTCAAACGGTCGATCCTCGCATTGAAGCTTGGTCAAGTGGGCCACGATCTTCGAGTATCCCTTGATAAAACGTTGGTAGTAGCCGGCAAAACCAAGGAACGAACGAACATCCGTGACTTTCCGTGGCTCCGGCCACTTTTGGATGGCTTGAATCTTGTCCGACAACGGACTGATGCCCTCCGGTGTGACAAAATGGCCCAAGCTGCCCAAGCATTCCAGCTCTTGCCGGACAAATTCGCACTTGTCGCGCTTGGCTTTGTACTTGGCGCGACGGAGCGTCTCCAACACTTGTCGAAGGTGCTCAAGATAATCCTCCAATGACCGGCTATAGACGAGAATGTCGTCTAAGTAGACCAGCACGAACCGGTCCAACATCGCACAAAACTCGTTGGTCATTGCCGCTTGAAATGTCATCGGAGCATTGGTGAGGCCAAAAGGCATGACCACCCACTCAAAATGCCCATACCGCGTCTTGAACGCGGATTTATAGCGATCGTTCGGCCGGATCGAAATCTGATGGTATCCCGACTTCAAATCCAACTTAGAGAAGTACTTTGCGTCGTCCAATCGCTCAAGAAGATCGTCGATACGAGGAAGAGGCCCCACATTCTTGACGGTTTGCGCGTTGAGCTTGCGGTAGTCGATGCACAATCGTAGATCCTTGTTCTTCTTCCATACGAAGAGAACTGGCGCTCCAAATGGAGAGCTACTGGGGCGGATCCAGCTCTTGTCCAACAAGTCATCGAGTTGCGCGCGGAGGACCGTAAGTTCCTCCTCACTCATGCGGTCAATGCAACCTTTCGGCGGCACGGCACCGGCCTCAAGAATGATCTCGTGAGAGATCGGCCGATCCGGCACCACACCGGTAGGTGACTCGAAGATGTCGGCGAACTCTTCGAGCAACCGCACCACACGGGGGTCCGAAGACAAGTCCGTGGGTGAAGAGTCGGCTACCTCGACGGTCCGTAGGAAACATAGGCCGATTTCGTCGGGCTGCTCGTAAGCACAAGTAGCCCGGAATGACTTGGTCGTCACCGCTTGTCATCAGGTTGAAGGGTGCGGAAGAGGAATAGTACACGGTACTTTGGCACCGAAAGCGTCGCGAACCGTAAGAGTCCGCCGGTGGAAGTTGACCGTGTGATCCGCACTTGCAAGCCAAGGCATTCCCAAGATAATGTCGAAGTCCGTGTCCAAAATGTCGAACGTCACCAGTTCGC